AAAAAAAACGATGGCGACAAACGACAAAGGAAGTGTGAAGGAGAGTTCGTGAGATGAAATGCGGCCCATCCTCCTCGTGCAGACGTCATCCTCCCACGTCCTTCATTGTTCCCGGCACCTTCCGTCGCGAGGGGTGTGTCACACACGTGAGATGCTGCAGCTGCGGAGCTCTGATCTCTCTCTCTCTCTCTCTCTGTGTGGGTGTGTGCTTCTGCGGCCCCTCGTTGATGCTACAACATTTCTTCTCTTCTCTCTTCTCTCTCCTCTCTTTCCTCTCCTCTCTGGTGCGCTGCTTTATTGCTCCTGTTGCGACTCCAAGAGGTCGTTGCTTCCGTGAAATACGCATCGGTGCTACAAACAGCCGCCAAGCCGTGAAGATCGTTGCCGTGTCGAAGTAGTAAACCGCAACAACAACAACAACAACAACAACAAGAGCATACACAACAGAGATGGACTTCCTTGATGAGACTGTGATCTACCCCGTTACGGCCTTCGCCCGCAACAGCCGCATGCTCGTGCGCAAGTGCCAGAAGCCGAACCAGAGCGAGTTCACCACCGCCAGCATGGCGACGCTGATGGGGTTTGTCACCATGGGATTGTTAGGCTTCTTCGTCAAGGTGATATTCATCCCGATCAACAACGTCATCCTCGGCGCCTAGTGGGGCGTCGCGAACAGAGAGAGAGAAGTGGATGAGATTGAGTGTGTGTGAAAGAGAGAGAGAGAGCGAAGCATGTGGTGTGGGGGCACGCCCGCATACTGCAGCCCCACCTCCCTTTCCCCGCCACCGCCTTCCCCTATTGTCTTCTTGACTTGACTATCCCGCGCAGGGTGGGCGCATGTGCTGCGCGCGGGGGAACAAAGAGGGCGGGGGGACGCGGCGTTGGCGGAGCGGGGGGGTGAGGGGCGAGGCGGGGCTGCATCGTACACGGATGGCTTGTTTAAATAATGTTTTAGCGAGAGGTCAAAGGGCGCCGAGAATGTTGAGAAATCAAAGATGATTCTCTCAGCCATCTGTGTAGTTGTGCGTGTGTATGCGTGTGCGTGTTGCTGCATTTCTTTAGGGAACTACGCGTGTAGGATGGGTCCACCGGCCCATCTCTCTTTGTTGTGGCTGTTGTCTCCTGCCACTGTTGGTGGTGGCGGTGGTATTCTGCAGTTGTGCGTCAATTGATTCTCTTTTCTCTCTCTCGGGTTTTGTTTCGCGCTGTTCACATCGCACACGCTTGGAGAAAGAGGCGGGGGTTTGGGGTGCGGCAGCAGCAGAAGCAGAATCAACAACAAGTGATAACATGTCGGCGGTGAAGCGCTCCCTCAACGTTGGCGTTGTCGGTATGGGAAACATGGGGGTCCCAATCGCCCGCAATCTTGGCTTCAAGGCGCGCAGTGCGATGTACTTGCAGATCCACAGCCGCACGCTCAACAAGGCCCGTCGCGTGTGCGATGATCTCGCGGTGGACGGCGCGTCGTGTGCGATGCGCCTTCATGACCGTTACTCAACCATGACCAAGTGGTGCGACGTGATGATGCTGGTGCTGGCAGATGTGCGGGCCGCACGGCATGTCCTTCTGGAGGACAACGAGGCGCTCATCCGAAACGCGCGCAAGGGCCAAATCATCGTCGATCACACAACGGTGGACATTGAGACATCCCGCGAGTGTGCGTATGAGGCGGAGCGGCGTGGGGCGTACTTCCTTGACGCCCCAATGAGCGGCAGCCCCCGCGCGTGTTTCAACGGGCAGCTGCTGCTGATGGTCGGTGGTCACGCAGAGTCCTTCCAGAAGATGCTGCCGATATTTCACATGTACGCCGACACGGTGCACCACATGGGCGCAAGCGGCAGCGGGTCAGCGACGAAAATGATCTCGCAGGCGCTCGTCGCATCCCACAATGCGGCAGCGGCCGAGGCGCTGACGATGGCGCACCGGCTGGGCCTCGAGGACCAGAGCAAACTTGTGCAGGTACTTGACGCGTCGTGGGGATCCAGCACGATGCTGCGCCGCAACGCGCCGCTTCTGCAGGATCTCATTCGGAACCCTGACAAGACCCCACCAACCTCCACCACCAGCGTTGACAGGCTGTTGGCGGATATCGCCCTCCTCGACGAGTCGCTGCTAAAGCAAAGATCTTCCGCTTTGGATACCAACGAGGAGGGTGAGCCATTCCCTGTGTTGGATACCGCCCTCCGTTCTCTGGCCGCCGCGTCAGATGCGGGAATGGGCGAGCGCGACATTGCTGCTGCTGTGCATTACATACAGGCTGGCGAAGCCGAGCTGCGAAGCCGTCTCGCGGAGAAGCGAAGAGGCGGTGAGAGTGCAGAGACAAGCAGTAAGGCAGTGGGTACCGGAAGCGGTGATGCTCCTGTGGCTGGGAGTGGCGGTAGTGTGGTGGCCGCCGCGCAGGGACCCGTTGAGTTTGGGGAAGAGGACTTCTATTAGTGTGAGTCTGCGCAGGTGCAGCGCTGACCCACTCGCAGGGATGCGAGAAGAAAAGAGGAAGCGAGGTGAGTTTCACATCAATTGGCTAAGACATTTAGCTAGGCGTATTTTTTTTTTNGATGGAACGCGGTTGTGGGGTCTTCCTTGTTGCCGTACTGGTGTCTTTTATGTTTGTTTGCCTTCACACTTGTCTTTTCTTTCGCGTGTGTGTGTGTGTATGTGTGTGGCGGGGCCTTCTGGCTCTTTACGCACCTCTCCTTGATTGTGGTAGCAGCGTCATTGGATTCTGCTGGGGGAGTGCGGAGAAGAGCCTTGCAAAAGGAATGTTGGCGGCAGCAGCGTCGTCATCGCCGTCGTGTGTAGACCCGGTGGACATTGCCACTTCAACGGTGCTTGCGGACTACAAGTGGCTACCCAGCTGTCGTCATGCCGCTTTTCAGGCGGCCCTGGAGCAGGAGGAGGGGATAGCGCGTGTGTACTTCGCGGCGGAGGTCGACCTCGCCGTTGCGGTGACAAACAGCAGCAGCAGCAGCCGCGGGGGGAGCACGCAGCACGGGCGCACAACGCACCGGTCCGTCTCACTGTATGGGATGGACGAGGACAGAGGAATTCTGGGAGACGACTCGCAGCCACAGGAACAGCAGTCCGTGGAGACGGTGCGGGCTGTTGTGCTGATGACGTGGACGGCGCTGTATATATGCGATACCGACGCCACTGTCCTGCGCTGCGTCCCCGTCGCTGATGTGGATGGGGTGGGTGTCATACGCGACACGTGGCTTTGGCTACGCATCGTCCATCCCCACAGGACTTTAACGCTGCTGCAGGAGCCTCCGCTGGCGTTTGGTGCGGCGGCCAATGGCGACGGGATGGACACCGTGTTCCGCCTTGCCTCAGAGAATGAGTCGCCCTTAGCTGTTCAACGCGTCTTCCTGAGGGTTCTCTCCGCCGCACTCATGCACACGTTGGCCGCGCCGAGTCGAGCGCCACACTCTTCCTCCGCGTCCTCCTCTATACTGACGCGCACAACAAGTGCTGATTTTGTGCGCTTTTTTCATGACTTTAGCCTCGTGCGGCTGCCGTCGCGCATGCCATCAACGATGACGTGTCCCCCTGCCCTGCCGCTCCTGCGGTACAGCGCGGTCTGGATAGACGTGAGCAATCCGCATAGCCTCATTGAGCACATGCTGCTACGGCACCAACTCGTCTGTGGGCGGCCGCCGCCCATTCGCTACGACGTTCTCAAAGATCCCGTCGCCCGCTGGAGCGACGCGGCTATTGAAGAGGGGCGGCGCCGACAGCAGGACCCATATTATTCACCCATTCCGCCCCCTATCACTCATGCGCGGTCGCAGCCGGCGCTGCATGATGCCAGGAGCAGTGCCTCGCCGCTGCGTCTGGCTGAGAGCCCCTTGCCGCGGGTGTCGCGGAGGGAAGGGGTAGCGCCGGAAGTGCCTGCCAGCAGTTGTGGCAGCAACACGTCGCCTGCAAGGAGGCGTGGGTTGCCTGCCTCCCTGCCACCCCCATCCCCTCGCAGCACCGTCAATGCTGAGGTGGTGCCGCCTCTCAC